GAATTGAATCGTACGGTTAATGAATTGTTTCAATAGGTATTTAATACCACTCGTCAATCAAAAGTTTTTCAAACTTTTTTACGTCGATGGTGGGAACACGCTCCTCACTCAAATGGGAAAGCAACGAAAAACAACGCATTTTACTCCAGGGGTGCATTTTAGTTCATCCTTACTTAATATTCAAATGTTGCTTTTGTCTTCGTTCATGTGACTATGCAGCGTGTGATTAGTAAGATCAGATTGAAAAAGAGAAGAAGACAAAGATGCATATTCATTAGACTGATGCAAAATTTGACTTTTTCGCTCCACATAGCTTAAATGGTTTCAAATCGGGTCTTGATTAGCCTCCCAAAGTTACAACTCATTTGGTAAGAAACAGACTTCGCACAAGCCATTTGAAGTTTACATGTAAATTACTAAGGGAAATCTTAACTTTTTGTTCATTGCCTTCTAGTCTTTTTCCATATTGAACTGCGAAACAGTTCGATATACATTCTTATAGAAAATTTTCTCAAGATTGTTTCTATGTAAAACGAGACAGGAAAAATTTATTAATTATTTAAGAGATTGGTAAACTTATGCCATGATCAAGCAGCTGCTCTGTAGGCAACACTGTATTTTGCAGTGTGACATAGTAGCCATGATTTTTGTGTCCTATTCAACGCCCCAGAAACACCAATGTTGCCTGCTGAGCAGTTGATTGAGCATGATCATTAGACATCAGCGCATTGAACCATTGATAACTTTCGATCCTTGCATTTAATCAAAAAGTGGTCTTGAGCAAAGCTGTAGCTGGGAAAATTTCCTACAGTTAAAAGCTTTTGAAGCAGACCGATATGGTGAAATATTAGATAGACATGAACAAAAATCTAGGTTTTACCATAGTAATTCCCATACAAACTTCAAATGGTTTGTGCCATCTCAGTTTCTCACCAAATGGGTTCAAATTTTGATAGGTTAGTCAGGATCCGATTTGGAATCGTTTAAGTATTGTGGAGCGAAAATTTCAAATTTTGCATCACTCTAATATTCATTCTTTGCGATTCGTTATGAACAATGTAAACAGTGAACGTTGCGACCAAGATAATCATAAAAGGTAGTCTTGATGTTGACTTGCATCTGTATTAGTATTTCGAAAATTAGCTGATAACCTGTTTTACTGTTGTTGTGATCCATTCAAAGTCAATAGAAAGCCTACTGATGAAAAACCATGAAGAAAGAGGTGTCGCATGGCATGTTGTTGTGTAATAACGAAATTGTTCCCTACTACATGTTCCCTCGGGGGTACTCCGGTGTTTCCGGAAGTAGCCAATGTGGCCAAACTCATCACTAATTTAGCAATTTAGACATGCCCTCAGGAATCCGGTAGCCATGGTCACTTCCATTGCCTCACCATAAAATTTGATTAGTTTTCCATTCGAATGCTTCTTGAAGATTAAAAATCGAACACTATTCAATGAAGTTACAACAGTCCAAAGTTGGACAAAATTTTGCTAATACCCTAAATTTCTCACAACCCCTGTATAACAAACTGCATTAATCTTTTTATTATAACGTGCATAATATTGATCATTTACTGTGTGACCGAATATATTTCTCACGGTGCACTTGCAATCAAATCCTACTGGTTCAAGTTCTTAAAGAAATAAAATCGACCATGAATCATGAAGAAAGAGGTGTCGAATGGCATGTTTTTGTGTAAAAATGGAATTGTTCCCTACTACAGGTTCCCTCGGGGGTACTCCGGTATTTCCGGAAGTGGCCAATGTGGTCAATGATCAATTCAAAGTCTATAGAAAGCCTACTGATGCTAAACCATGAAGAAAGAGCTGTCGCACGGCTTGTTTTGGTATAAAAATGCAATTTTCCCCTACTACAGGTCCCCCGGGGGCACTTCGGTGGCTCCGGAAGTGGCCAATGTAGTTAATGCTCCATTTAAAGTCTATATAAAGCCTATTGGTAAAAAACCATGAAGAAAGAGGTGTCACATGGCATGTTTTGAAAGAATGAAAGAACTGACCGCACTCAGAACTCTCCCTCAGGACCGATTCCAGGGAAATGGCCAAATTTGGCCGAATTGGAAATGGTTTTTTTTAGGCGTATGAACAAAAAACACAGATTAGTAACGGACACTCTGAGAAAAACTCATCACAAATTTAAAATTGCTATGCCCTCAGGAAACCCAGAATATCTCCGGTATCCGGTAGCCATGGTCACTTCCATTGCCTTACCATCAAATTTGATTAGTTTTCCAGTCGAATGCTTCTTGAAGATTAAAAATTGAACACTGTTCAATGAAGTTACAACAGTCTAAAGTTGGACAAAATTTTGCTAGTACCCTAAATTTCTCACAACCCCTGTATAACAAACTGCATTAATCTTTTTATTATAACGTGGATAATATTGAGCATTTACTGTGTGACCGAATATATTTCTCACGGTGCACTTGCAATCAAATCCTACTGGTTCAAGTTCTTAAAGAAATAAAATCAAGTCGAAATAAAAATCCCGGTATCCACGGGATTGCGGAATTTATAAGTGTTTATCCCTGGATCTGGGAATCCCGGGATTTTTCATCCCGGGACTACTATCTAGTAGGAACTGACATAACTTTTCTTGTCCGAAAATATGCATTGGATGTAAGAAATCCATCCTTACATTTGATGTTCATGACATTTTTTTTGCATATAATTATCGATTTTCGTTCAGATCCATCAGGAATTAGGCTGACGTCAAAACACAAAATAGAAGTTTGCTACTGTGTTACATGTCAGATGCGAACCAGGCATTCAGCCTTCAATCTCTTTAATATAGTAACCTAACCTAAGCTAACCTGTGTTACATCGCATGTGTTTCGATTGTTGTCCCAATATGAATATAATGGAGCGGCAGTATAGATATCACCCATCATAGTGCCCATCATTATCCTTTAGATTTTAATGAATTAAGGTAAAACTAACAATCACCCGCTTCCATTTTCAGTCACATCTCCGCCGTCACGATGCTGGGCGTCCCGGCGGAAATGTACCGCTACGGCACCCAGTACTGGGCCTGTTCCATCTCCGGAATAATCGTCACCATATTCATGGTGTACGTTTTCCTCCCGGTGTTCTTCGAACTGCAAACAACCTCCTGCTATGCCTACCTGGAGCTACGTTTCAGCAAACGGGTCCGCTCGTTGGCCAGCCTCCTATTCATGCTGTACTGTCTGCTGAACGTTCCGGTGCTAATCTACACACCGGCGATAGCATTCAGTCATGGTAAGTAACACACGGCAATGCCTTCAATCACAGTTCGTTATCCGTTGTTCAAACATGCTGCCTTTGTTTTCAGTCAGTGGGATCAATTTGCACATCATCACGCCAGTCATATGCTGTATTTGCATTTTCTACACCACTTTTGGGGGAATACGGTTTGAGCAAATTCAACAGTTATTTCGGACTGAACAGTGAGGTTTGATTAATCGATGCTTTTTGATGGTTTTAGCGCTGTGATATGGACGGATACTTTGCAATTTGGAGCAATGCTGTTGGCGCTCTGCGTGGTAATGACGCTCGGAACTCTGCAGCTGGGTGGCTTTATTAACATTTTCAAAATTGCAGATGCAGGAGGTCGACTGATTTGGTTCAAGTACGTATTGATTTATCATGTGTATAACAGTTAATGAATTGCGATTTTTTTTCAGCGTCGATCCTGATCCCACCCTGCGGTCATCGTTTTGGCTAGTATCGGTAGGGCTCACCTCGATGTGGATTTCTAACATTGGAGTAACCCCGGAATGCGTACAACGATTCTTAACTGTTCCAGATCTATCGAGTGCCAAAAAGTGACCACAAACGCATATTTTAAAGTTACAAAATAGCTCAATATAACCCACTTCTAGGGCAGTTTGGATATTCGGTGCCGGGCATATTATCGTAAAGCTGTGCTCCGTCTACAATGGCCTGCTGATATTCAGTAAATACCACGACTGTGACCCAGTTCACTCCGGTTTGGTGAAGAAAAACGATCAGATTTTCGCCTACTACGTTCTGGACGTTGCTCAGAAAATTCCCGGCCTGCCCGGATTGTTTGTCGTGGGAATCTTTTCCGCTGCTCTATCATCGATGTCGACCACCATGAATACCCTATCCGGAACGATGTACGATGACTTCGTGAAGCCTCACTTCAATTTAAGCGAGTCAACGGCAAGCACGGTCATCAAATCTATGGTCGTCTTCATTGGAGTACTCTGTTTGCTGTTGGTGTTTGTGGTCGAGAAGCTGGGCAGTGTGTTCAGTTTGGCAATCTCGGTGTCCGGAGTGACGTCCGGTACGCTGTTGGGGATCTTCTTCCTTGGAATGTTCTCCCCGAAAATCAATGCTAAGGTAAGAAGGGATACTTTTTGGCTCTAGGATTGACGTTAATCAAGCCTCTCATGCAGGGTGCATTCTGGGGAGCGATTATTTCACTGGGAGCGTTATGCGTGATAGCAGCAGGAGCTCAGTTGGAGATCCTTAATGGGAATCTTATGTATCAGAGTCTGCCGCTACGGTATGATGGCTGCTCGGGATTCAATTCAACCGGGTAAGTTTTCGATTGATATTTTCATTCGTCCGTCTCTAATCATCATCAATTTCGATCCATTCCCCATTTTCAGCACGGAAACCTCTACCTTCTATGTCGACGCTGAGGGACATGACAATTCCGAGGTGCCTTGGATGTTCCGATTGGGTTTCATGTACTACTCCCTTCTGGGCACGGTCATAGCCGTTGCAGCGGGAACCATCATTAGTTTCATCACGGGAGGTCAAAAGGAACCCATTCCAGAGCAGCTACTAACGCCCTGGGTTCGCCCTCTGTACAGACCGATTCGCAGCGTCGACGACTACGAGTGCAAACTTACCAAAAATCAGCTGTACGCGGTTAAGGAGGTGCAAAAAATTTGTAAATAGAATTACTCTAAGATCAGATTTTTATTGTAAATAGTTCTAAAAAATATTTCAAATATTAAATCAATGCTACCGTTTATCTGGCTTTCCCAGAGCAGGCCTTACGTAAGTTTTGGAACCCATTCGTTGGTTGATGTACTGCTGACGAATTTCTCTCAATTGCTTGGCAATTGAAATCACTTCCTGATCGGCATCGTTCAAGTCCTTTTTCAATGTATTGTTGTAAGTGCTGTAGATCCACTCAACAGACTTCTCCACGTTAGCTTGAAATCCCTCCAGAACGTGCTTGGTATGGCGAAAACGTGCTGGATTCACCATATCGGTCAACATGTAGATCAATCCATGCTTCACAGCAGACTGTTGTCGAAGAGTAACGAAAGGAATTTCAACCTGAGGCAACGCTGCCTGAGCTGCCTCCAAGGCGATCAAAGCACCGTGACATGCCGTTCGGCAATCCAGCACCAAAGAAATCCTCTCCGCTGCTGTAGATGACTGTTCAACAAGATTCCAGTATTCGACGGCTTGCAGTAGCCCTTTTAGTGAAGCTCTCATCAATAAACCAGCCGTCCTCCATTGCTCGGAGACTCCCCCTAAACGGTCACGGATTTCACGCGCCGAATCAAGTTCCTCGTCCAGACGTTGCTCAAGTACGGAACTGTAGCTGCCATTGTTTGCCGAGGCTACCAAATGATCCAACTCCAAGTAGAGTGTCTGCAGTCGTGTGAAACTCTGGCGAAGATTTGCTACACGAGCTCGCGAGTGTTCAACCATATCTGCGCGAAAACTTTGCGCCTCGAGTGTCATGGCAGAACGGGTGATGCGGGCAATGAACTCCTCCTGCCGAGCGGCTTTCACCGGATCCAGTGCGATGCCCAATTTCAGGGCTATCTGTTGAAACACAAAATCAAAGTTTACATCTTCATCATTCGAATCGTACAATTAATGAGTAAAATGAAACAACCATACAACATCTAGTGAAAAGAAAATACATACTCGACGAACCTTAGCCGTATCATCTCTACTACGATCGAAAGCCACTTCAGCAGTTTCCGGCTTGGAAGATCCATACGCCCCATTCGGAACATCATCCAGTCTAACATCCATCACCAATCTGTTGTCGCGTTCATACAGCTCGTTGGTGGCACCAGCTTTTTCAAACACCGCATTCAGATGTTCAATCCACGCTTCCGCAGTCAGTAGCCGAGGTCCCGGACAACTGCTCTCAAGAACACATATCTCCTCGTCTAGTCGCCGGTACGCTTGGGGGACAGTTTCCGAAGGCTTGATTTGATGCAGAATTTTTATGATAAGTTCAGTTAAATAAATACACTTTCTCACCTTCGGTGCGACGTTTTCCACCTGAACGGAATCCCCTGGCAATCCAGTGAAAGTTTTGGCAACTCTCCGCACAGGTGTACTCGGATAGGTATCTCCTTCTTCTTCGACCGCTGTGCTTGATGTGGAGCATCCCATGGTACATCTCGCTAACGATTTGCCAAGGAATCAACTATCAACCGTCGTAGGTACTTTCGCGCGATTCAGTATCGATTGCAACGACCTCCAAATGACTCACTTCACGCGTGGCTGGTATTCACGTTAACGACAATAGCACTGAGCTTTGCATAGTAGTAGCACATTTGCCTTCACTTTTTATGTTTACTCAATCAAATCAGTAGGGGTAACTCCATGGTGTGCTTAGCTACCTACATGTGAAGGTCGAGTCACTCACTGAAAGGACTGACGAGGAAAAATCATTTTCCACTCATGCAGGGTGTCACTGGGGGAATAATCGCAACTGCGAGGTTAGACTGGCCCACAAATATAAAAGTTCTAATTTTCCACGGGCCAACCTCTATATTTTTGCCTTTAGGTGAGAAAACCATTTCTTGAAAGATTTAGCTCATTCGGTTGTAGGATGAGCTGCTGGTGCTTTAAGTTTGAATTTTGTATGTGGATTTTGGTTAAAATACATGAATAAATGACACTCCTATACTTTATCGATCGTAAAAATTTTTTCTTACTCTCGATTTGATTCAGATTTTCAAAACTTGTAGTTCAAACAATGAGTAACAACTTTACTGAAGACTGCATTATGAATCCGGTTAGTTTCATTGAGATATTCGCTTTTGAATGTGTATGACCATTTTGTATAAGTAAATTTCAACCAAATCATCTATATAAACATTAAACTGAAAGCACCACTCCGAGCTACGCCAAAAACAGCTGAAACATTCATAGAGTGGTTATCTCACCTATTGAAATGAGTCTGGTTGTTGGCCTGTGGAAAATATGAACATTTATTTTTTCAGTGGTAATCTAGTTGATACATTGCATAAGCTGCCTATATTTTGTTGCAATATACAAACAAAATGCACATATAAATTCAAGAATGAATATCTCCTTAATACTAACTTGAATCGTGCTGCAGGCTTCAGCAAAGTTGTTTCTTATAGATATAGATTAAGCTACATGTGCTAAAATTCTGAGCTTAAAAGAGTTTGCTGAACCAGTTTAATGCACGAAAGAGTAAGCCAAAAGCGCCAGCTCGTGTTACATCCGAATGAGCTGAAATGTTCACAGAGTGGTTTTCTCACCTAATGGCACAAATCTGGGGGTTGCCGTTGAAAAAAAAATTCTCCCATATAAATGTGGGCCAGTCTACTGCGAGGTACATATATCATTCCGGTTCAATGCAGTCAGCGTCGCGTGCTATACACGCGATTATCTATTGTAGTGATCTATTCAGATCCTACTGGATAACGAATAACTGGCATGGGACATCAATCCGTTTTTTTTTTTTGCTATTTGATAGTTAATAGCCCCAAAGCATTAACGATGAATAAAGAAAAATAAATTATCAGTGACGAACTTAAAGCTTCAGGCTGAATAGGACAAGACGCAGACAGGTTATGAGGGGGAGGAGGTTGACGAGTATGGTATGAATGAATGTCAACCGATGAGACGGGCTTAAAATCTATCAAAAACAGTCCTTGTAGTTTGTGGACAGCTCCTTAACAGCTATACATTAGCCACACGGATGCTATTTCTAGTATATAGCGAGCTATGTGATAGAAAACTACATAATAGCCCATAGGAACACCTAAACTATGACGTGATAGCTCATAGTTATGACTGGCAAGTTATAGTTTAGAACTATGACATAGAGCCAAATTCATTGTCGTGTGTACACTCTAGCGATAGTTTCTATATCATAGTTGCAAGCTATAAACTATTCCATCAAGCCGGAATAGTTCATAGTTTATTGGTCATAGTTTTCTGACAGCAGTCTGTGCGCGGCGCTTTTGTTTTTGTTTATGAAACCACTCATAGACATCTTATCCAAATGAATTCGGAGTTGTGTTCGGAATATGGACTCTGGAGACAAGGGGAAGGTCCACCGGAAGATCCGGAACATCCGGAAAAGTGCTCAATTCATGGAACTGATCGTAGAACTCCACGGTGTCTTTTAGAAACCACTCATAGACGTATTATCACAATAAATTCGGAGTTGTGACCAGAAAATTTTTACTGGGGACCACGGGATGGTCCACTAAAAGATTCGGAACATCCGTTAAAGTGGTCAATTCCTGAAACTGACCCTAGAGAACCACTCATGGACATCTTATCAAAATAAATTTAGTTAAGGGATGCTGGGGACCACGGGATGGTCCACTTATAGATCTGGAACATTTGTAAAAGTGGCCAATTCATGAAACTGATCGTAGAGCTCACTCATAAACGCCTTATCACATCACAATCAAATCGGAATTTCGACCAGAAAATTTATAATGGGGACAACGGGATGGTCCAGTAAAACATCTGGAACATCTTTAAAAGTGGTCAATCCATGAAAATGATCCTGGAGCTCCGTGTTTTTTTTTAAACCATCCATAAATTAATATGAATAATAACTCAAAAAGACTGTATTTTTTAAAATGGCTTATTGGTTCAATTTTTATGTGATGGATTTAAACTATAAACAATAAATATAGTCCCTCGTTAACTTGCAACTCCAAAGAAAGATCTCGAATAATTCAAGAGAAAGAAATCAAAGAATTCCAAAAATTTCGTTAATAGCACCTAGAAGTTATTAAACACTTCAATACCACATAGAAATCATCCATGATAATAAATTGATATATAATGTCTATGAGCAGTTCTAAAAAAACATGGAGTGTTGAGATCAGTTTTCTTGAACGATTCACTTTAACGGATGTCCCGTATATTCCGGAGGACCATCCAATGGATCCTGGGGTCCATTTTCCAGTCGCAACTCCGAGTTCATTCTGAAAACATGTCTATTATCTTCCAGAGGAGCGTCTATGATGTTCATGAGAAACATTCATAGTCTCCAGGGTTTATTTTCCGATAATAACTACGAATTCATAATTATAAGAGTTTTCGAATGGTACACCCAACCGATGGATGTAAGATTCGCTTACAATTATGTGGGATTCATCATCAGAGGATGTAAGTGGAGACCGCATGAACCGAGGATGCGATATACCTAGCTGCGGTCCGATGTAAGAAAATTGGAGACCGAAAAATGTGAAGTGTATTAGTGAGTGAAATTAATTATGTCGAAAAAAATAGAAAAAAGGTTGCCGACTGGACTTGAACCACGGACGACTAACAAATCTGGGCTTTCTCCACTGCTCTCTCCATGCTTCTGAATATGGTCAGCCTAAAAACAAAGATGAAGCGCTCATTTTCTCGCATGCTCGACTTCGTATGCTTTTTCTGCTGGAGAGCTTCGAGATAAGTGTGTGCGTCGTTCTACAATGTTCTACAATGTGCGTCGTTCTACAAGCTTACTGGTATAGTCGAAAGCGTAGATTGAACCCGAAATAAAAATGCTCGACTTCGTATGCTTTTTCTGCTGGAGAGATTCGAGACAAGTGTTTGCGTCGTTCTACAATGTTCTACAATGTACGTCGTTCTACAAGCTTACTGGTATAGTCGAAAGCGTAGATGAAACACGAAATAAAAAAAGACAAAAAACCATTACATCGCCTGCATGGTAAATTTCTAACATTCGTTGCGATGTTCATGAACAGAGGATGATAGGAAACGGAACTAACATTCATTGTAATAGATTTTTGGTTTGCGTGTACGGAGTTGTTGTTTTTTCTTGATTTGTTTTCCGTCGATCTTGTGGATCTTGGTGAATTGGATAAATAAACTTTTTTTTATCATTTAAGGAAGACCAATGCAATGTTCTAAAAAATTGTAGAACAATCAATTCGAAAGATTTTTGTTAAATACGCCAAATTTATATCTCTTATGGTTCATGAGTTAAATTTTTTTAAACAAGCTGTTTAAGGTGGCCTTTGAAAACAATTTAGTTGAATAACTGTTCATACGTTCATTTCTCGTGAAAACGTTGTTTTGGACACATTTAGAACTTATTATGAAGCACATTGATGACGCAACCATGTTGCTATCTTATTTGATTAGAAAGTTAATGGAGATATTCTTCGATTTCTTTTTTAAAATTGTCAACATCTCTATCCGATTTTCAAACTTTTGACTTCTTTTGAAAGATCGTGTTTTTATTCATTTTTGGTGAGAAAACAGTGAGAACGATTAATTTTAAAAAGTCAAATTTTTCACTAAAATCTTGCCAAAACTTTTTCAAATAAAGAAGATATCAACTAAGTTGCTTCAGCAAAAATATGCGTCATAAAAAGTTCTTAAAATATTTAAAACAAAGTTTCTACGAGAAATGAACTTATAAAATGATATGTAAAGAAAGCCGATTTTCTAGGGGCACCCTAACCTGCTTGCTTAAAATAATAATAAATAATGAATCATAAGAAATAGAAATTTGATGTCTTAAACAATTGATAGTTCTACAACTTTTAGAAACACTGCATTGGTCTAACTCAAATATTAAAAAAGTTTGTATTTTCAATTCACCAATTTTATGGACCACCCCAATTTCAGTAACATAAAAAGATTGGCCAAAAAATACGAATAAATTAAACTAAAAGTGATGGTTTGGCCGCAAATATTTTTGTCTTCCCAAATAAGGCCCCCAACTTTGTGCATTGGTCTCCAGGGTAAAATTTCTGGTCATAACTCCAAATTGATTCTGATAGGATGCCAATGAGTGGTTTTGTGTTTCATGAACCCAAGAGTCACTTTTCTGATCACAACTCCGAAATCATATTAATAAGATGTCAATGAATGGCTTTGAAAAGCACGTAGAATTCTAGGAAAAGTTTTATGAATTGACCACTTTTACGGATATTCCTAATTTTGCGGTGGACCATTCCGTGGTCACCAGTGTATATATTCTGGTCACAACTTTGAATGAATTCTGATAAGGCGTCTATGAGTGGTTTTGAAAAAAAACGCGGAGCTCTAAGATCAGTTTCATAAATTTACAACTTTTACGGATGTTTCGGATATTTAAGTGGTCCACCTCGTGAATTCCAGTGACCAAATTCCGGTCATAACTCCATATTAAAGGGTGATACGGTCAAAATTTGGTCAATATCA